TCCTGATTCAATGGTTTTATAATAAACAAAATTAGAATTTACTAATACGAAACATCATGATAAACAATACAATACAACATATTTAAAATAGTTTCGAACACAATTTACCTCAACATCATTGAAATGAGGCAAATTGGACTCTTTCATATTCCGTAATTTCATGCACAACTAATCCTAGTTTTAGCGTTCACGAATCTAATTCACAACAGTCGCCAACAAATATTATCTATCAATTATTTTGTATTGTAACATATATTCAATCCAAAATAGAATATGAAACTAAATGAATATATAAAATAAGTAAAAAATTCTTTACCTTAACAAATATGTCAAAGCTTTAAAATATTTAATATCCTTATTTTCGTTTCTACACTAAACGGTTATCTTGATAAAAAGAGATGTTGCTGCTGCTTGGCTATTGAGGAAGAAACTGGTGTCGAAGTAAGGAGAACACAACATGCAGACGAACGAGAGGAGAAGAAAAACAAATAACACAGACGAACAAGAAGAGAAGAAAAACAAATAAAAATGAAAGTTTTTTTTTCCCGCTTATTTCACATAAAATTTTGACGCTTATTTGTAATGTGTATTAGACAAGCTATTGATTTTTATAACAAAAAAAAAAAAAAAAAAAAATTAACAAAGTATGGATGCCAATCCATGTAATGCAGCGGCCGTCCATATACGAGGGACAACCATCCACTAGCGTCCATATTGTGTGCATTTTATTTAAATTTTTTTTTTTAATTTCACAAAGGATGGACGCCAGTCCATCTCATGCGGATGGTCATCCCTATAAAAGGGACAATCGTCCACAGTAGATGGACTGGCGTCCATCTACTGAGCTTTTAGGACGGTCATCCATATTAACGGGACGCCCATCCATAGGATTTAGATGGGAGTCCATTGTTTATTTATTTATTTTTAAATACTTTTTATGGACCCTCGTCTATTCCACAATGAATGGCCGTCCAGAAAGTATGGACGGCTGTCCAACCGTCCATTTACAGAAGTGTTCTATCGTCCTATATGGCGACGTCCGAGTCAGTTGTCACGTATTTTGATGCAAATTTTCGATACCATCTTTCGGTGTACATAGCATTTTTGTATTTGCTAGACACTCAATTTAAGATAAATGTTGAGACGAGTAATACTATTGTAATTTATATTTTGTATATTGATAAATTAATTTGTATAACATTTCCTGAGTTTTTAATCACTACCATCGTTTATAATTAATTTAGTGAACATTAAGGTAAACTTATTTATAATTAATCAGTATAATGATTACACAGGTTTTAGTTAGAATCTAACAAGGGGGTTGGAGCAGTAAAAAGTTAATTATTCAAAATTAAAAAATAATTAATTAAAAGTGTAGTTTCACTTGCAGACTGTCCCTCGTCAATCACCAGTGCAGTCAGTGTGCAATTAATTAAGCAGCAGTTGCTTCTCAATTAAATAAAATCCTTAAATAAGCAATTAGGAGATAAGCAAAGCAATATCGTCATCTTTAAGTTCCCCAAGTAGCTGCTTTTAACTACACGTTTCTGACTGCTAAAAAACTGTCATTTCCCATATGGCAGGTCAGGTGATACACACGTGTAGTCGTGTGCACTCTTTTTACTTCTTGCCTGGGTAAACATTTCTCTGATTCCTGCATCTCCATCGGAGACTGGTGATGATGCTCTTAGCAATGGACAAACCAAGTTTAATTTTATTAAAATAAGAATATATAAATAATGTTTATATGATCGTAAAATATCAAAACTTAATGTCCCATATTACCACAATATTCTATTTGAATAAAATTCAAAAGAAAGAATTTTGTATACTGATTTATTTAATTTGCTGGATTTAATTAATGATTCTTAGAAAATTTCAAATATAGTTCTCTTATGCATCCTACATTTTTTCTTAATACAATATATTTTACATAAAATAAAGTGTATTTTATATAAAATAATGTTAAGTAAAACCACGTCAATTCACGGCTACTTATTTGTATCCATTGATTGTTACAATTAAATGACTTTGAGGGGGAAGTTTAACACTCAGGGGGCGTTTGGTTCAAGAATGTTAGATTACTAGAAATGTTGGATTACTGGAAAGATAGATTACCTTGGAAGATTACTGGGAATCTTTAAGAAAATATGTTTGGTTAGTTGGTGGGTATGTTATATTAATATGTTTGGTTATGGGAATAAATTGGCGGGTATATTATTTAAATTACTAAATTGACCATCTTTTAAATATTAATATAATATTATTTTTATTATTAATTTTTGAATAGTTTTTTTAACCCCCAATATTTCAGATTTAGCTAAAACACCCCTGCTTATAAAAAACTTTAATTTATGACGAAATCACCCCCACCTCCTGCCGCCGCCTGCCGCCACCGCGAACCACCGTCGGAAAATCGCTGGAGCCCCTAAAAAAGAAGAAAATTCTCAGGGAGGCTCCGGAAGGCTTCGATTGATGGCCGGAAACGGCCATAACGAAGCTCCCCGGAGTCTCCCACGAAATTTTCTTCTTCATTAGGGACTTCGGCAATTTTCCGGCGGTGGTCCGTGGTGGTTGGCTTGCTATCGGCGGTGGTGGCTGGGTGGCAATGGTGGTGGTGGCTGGGTGACAGTGGTGGTCCGTAAATAATTTTAAATATAAGGGCATTATTGTCCAAAATTTTAATTAAACAAGGGTAAAATTGAAATAGGATATTAATGTAAATTTGTTTTAAAGTAGGGGTATTATTGTCTAAAACTTTTTATTAATAAGGGATAAAATTGTAACAAAAAAAGATAACCCTGATAATCTCATATTACCTAAGAAAATGAAGGTAATCAGATTACCTCTGATATTACTAATAGTAACCACTATTGGTATTTGAAGATTACCGGTATCTGATATTACTTGACAACCAAACATGGTAATCAAGTAATATAAGATGACATTACCCTAGTAATCCCACTTAACCCCCAACCAAACGCCCCCTCATTATCACTCGGCCAGTAAAAGAGTAAAAGTAGATTTTATGGGATCCTGACTTTGAGTTCCTTCAAGCACTAATAAGGGTGATCATCGATGCTCTTACTTGGTTGACAGTTTTAGGACTCTGAGAAATTAGTTGAGTTGTGAGTAAACTGGCATAGACACCTCAAATGATTAAAAAAAAAAAAGATTTAACTCAAGAGTTGACGACTTTTTCCTATCCAAATAATGGTTTAATGACACTTTCTCACTCATAAACTTTTAAAATATCATTTTATTACCCAAATTTATACTCCAATAACAAACAGAGAACAAACTCGGTTCAGATTGTTCGAGTTTTTAAAGAATGGAGGTCGATGAGTCTTTTAATTGTAGAAGGTTGGATTTTGGTGGTTGAAATTAACAATAATTTGACTTGGAAGGGGCGACTGTACAAACCCTAATCGATTGATTACCCGCGACTAGCGAAGTCGACGAGAGTGGGGTTTAAGAGGTGTTAGTGAATGATGATCAAGAAAGAGAATAATGGTGATGTGGGGTTACAATGAAACCGAAATTGGAAACATAATATAAATTTAAATAATGAAATGATATTTTAAAAGTTGATGGGTGAAACATAATATAAATTTAAATAATGAAATGATATTTTAAAAGTTGATGGGTGAAAAAGTGTTATGAAATCATTATTTGGATGGGAAGAAGTCGTTTACTCTTAACTCAATTAAGATATAAATTATGCATAAAATTTAAATACACGATAAATTAGTTTCAACAATTTAGGTTAAAAAATGAAGTAAATTTAACACCAAGTGGATTTAACACAAGTTAATCTTCATCCATGCCAAATAAAAAAAGCTTAAAAATGGATTGCCCATGAATCCCAATCCTTCTCCCCGTAAAGATTTGTCTTTCCCGTAGTAGATGAAGAAATGGATAATGGATTCGAAAGCAATTCAATGGAGTGAAAAATCTATATTACTGTCACATGACGCAACCGTAATAAGAAGGAAATGATGTATTTTGGATTTCGAACATGGATCAAAACCCAACGAAAGATCTTCCGAGCTGGCGTAATTGCCAATCTCTCACCCCTTTCATTTGTCAGTAAAAACTAAAGAATTAATTAAGCGTTCTTCACTGTTCCCACGTTTTGATGACTTCTTTATCCTCCTTTCTTGGGCAACTTTTCAAAGCAATCCGGCTTAATCATCGCTGGGGTCTCTAGGCTTTTTGGTGTTTACTTGTAAAGTTTGTACATAAATAATGACGATGATTGATCATCTTTTAATTCAACTGTAAGCTTGTAGGGTTAATTGGAACTCGAAAACTACTACTTTCTCTTTTGGCAACAAAGCGCACGGAGCAAAAAGTTGACTGTGTATTTTTGTACTTTGAACTGAAAGTTTCCACAGTGGTTCAGATTTGAAGTAGTACTCTGCTTTATTCAAAGGTTCAACAGCGAAAACTCTGAAACTTTTTCTGATTATTACTCTCACTTAACTGGTGCTCGCTGTGTTTTCAACTTCAGAAATGAGAAAAGTCTGATTTCGTCAACTGAATGCATGAAATTGCATGCCACAGAACTTTCCGTTGTAAAAACAAAGTGGATAAGCATATTCAAATGCATATTCACAATCTCTGTAAATTGCATTGGACTTGCAAAAAAAAAACTGCAAATATATTTCTAGTTAGTCATTAATATATTGAGATTATATAATTTATGTTCCCAATTACAGCTTTTCCGAGGAAAAGATTCAAAAACCGAGAGAAGAAACCCTAATCCCATAAGTTTGAAACAATATTTTACTACAATATTTTCTTCTATTCATCTTCTTAGTTTCAAACTATGGGAATATTTCTGCTTTCTTGCATGCACATGCAGTCATGCACAAAAAGAAACACCAATCCCATAAGTTTGAAACTAAACTTAAATACACCAAAAAGACCAAGCTAAAGAAAAGAGAAATTAAGTACTAAAAGCATTAGAGCTGGGAACTGAAAATACTACAAGAACACTAAACAGTGGCCATTGATGGAGCTCTATTTCTGTTTCCGTATCCAACTCCCAGCTTCAAATCAAGCTCCACAGCATTACTGTTCCCTTCCACTTTTAAACCATTAGAATTGTTGGAAAATAAATGGGCCACAGAGGTCACTACTGAACACTTTCTTGCGCTATTCACTTTGCCCTTCACTTTCTTCACCTCAGTAGAGGAAGAAGATGAATTAGAAGGTGATGAAAGGGGCAAGACTGAGGAGATTTCGAAGTTCGTCCTCGCTTTAGACCCCCTAAGCCTCCTTGCAGCCGCGTCATAAGCACGCGCCGCCTCTTCCGCCGTGTCGAAGGTTCCAAGCCAGTGGCGGCACCGCCCTATACGGTCACGTATCTCTGCTGACCACCTACCCCATGGCCTCTTTCTCACCCCTCTGTAGTTCTTTTGCACTGGAATAACATTATTATTATTTTTGCCACTTGACCCGAAACGTTTGGCACCGGCGTCAGAAGATTTCGCCTTGTTCGTTCCAAAGAGAACGTCTTGGCCAACAACAGCAGCGATTCCGTCAAGAACAGGAGTAGTTCGATCAGTTTCCGTTTCAGTCTCAAAATTATTCCTTTCCACCTCAGTTTCGGGCTCCAGTACTTTATTCCCAGGACCATAGAAAGAAACACCACCCGAGATATCGGTCAAAACGGAGAAACTATTCGGAGGGTAGAGGTGATTTTGATTGGTAAGTGAAGAGAAAGAGTCAAAACTGCTACCAAAGAGAGAGTTATAAAGGCAAGGAGTTTCGGGTAAGACACAAAACGTTTCAGTTGCTGGGTAGGGTTCAGGCTTGGAGAGGACGAACGGGAAAGCTTGAAACGTTTGAGAGTTGATAGTGTTCTGCATTTTTGTTTTAGACGGAGAAGAAGCAGAACAACCAGAAACGAGAACAGACATTCATTGAGGTTGATGAATTGGTGTAACAGTTAGGAGTTTATATAGTACTAAATTAATTAATTATTTAAAAAAGGGCAGATGAATTAATTTAATAACGAAATTAATATTATTTATATGTTGCTGTCAATTTCGATGAGACCGTAATCCGTTTTATTTACATGCATGTCCTTCCTTGGCAGGAGGGATATATGCATTTAAATTGTCAATACTACCCTAGGTTTTGAATTCTTTACTTAACAGAGGTTAATTTGTCAATGAAGAGGTAAGATGATCTTGGATATCACCTTTTAACGGTGTATGATCTCGTTTTCACGGCGGGACTGATGTCCGGTATTTGTACTGGTCTGCATGGTCCGATGTGGTTCGGGTTTTAGTGTACCCAAACCGCCAACCTAATATTGATTTAAAAAAAAAAAAAAAAAAAAAACTCAAACCAACTATATTGATTAGAATAGAAACTTAAAACATAAGTAAATCAGTTGGTTTGGTTTACATTTATCGGTCTAAGTTTTATATAATGATCTTTTGTTTCTTGTCAATTTTATACTACTTTATTGTTAAAATTTTTATTTTCAATATCTCATTTTTATTTTTAATTATAAATCCATCAATTTTGATTAAAAATTCTAACAATATAATTTGTGATTACAACATAATTATAATTCATGATAAATTTATTTAAATGTACTTTTCAATTCAAGTCTATGGGTTGAAAAGATAACCCTCGAGAAGTTGAAATTTGCCTTAATCCGATCGTGTCTAGTGACAGGGATGTTGCTCATGATAAAGTTATTCTAAGAATCAAATTGATCTTTTCAAAAGCTTTACATTGATAGGAAGGTTTGGCACTTCATGTAATCTTTGTCACCTGGGTTGCAGTATGTCTCAAGGGTTTGATTGTTCATTCATTAAATGTTATAAAGTTAAGTTCAAAATGTCATATAATAAGTATTGGTTTACAATCCAATTTTATAAATTTTTTCTTACAATCTGAGTACAATTTGTAATTGGTCAGGTTATATTTGGATAGACATGACTGAAACAAACGGGATCTATTGTGAACTCTATATTGAGGTTGTAAAAAAAATTTAATAAAATTAAATTATAACTGTAATATAACCCAATATCATAACAAAGTTTGGCTCATATTAATATGGATGTTAAAGCATTGAGATGACCGTCAAATATTATTCAGTTCAGTTTTGGATTTTTGTTACTTAAAGTTAAAAAGTTAAAAAAAACCAAAACTCGGGTAGGTGTGGATTTTTTGGGTTCCACTTCCGCATTTTCTTTTACCCAAGTTATTTGATGAGAGGGACATAAGTATAATTAAAACAAAAGTGAAGGGCAATGAAGAAGAAGGGGGATTTGATTTGGAATTTAGGGGTGTATAATCTTGAGGATTTGATACGGTAGGCAGTACTGTATAAGTAAAAGATCGTCACGGTGTCGTCAAGAGAAAAGATTGTTTGACACTTTGACTGCCTAGCGTCCATACAGCTACTATCGCATATTTTATTTGGTTTTGCTTGCCTAATACGTTGACAATGCTTATATGTTTCGCAGGCGCACCAGAATATCCGTGTGGAAGCACTTGATGATCCACCATGTAATAAAAGATGCCTTGACTTGATCCTGGCGTATAACGATGATGCATGAAAGGTTCTGCTCATATCAATCGCTACTTCCTGGTAGTCGTTTTTATTTTAAAATTCATAGGGTTTTATTAGTTTAGGAGAAAATATTTGAAAAAAAAAAATGCTATTTTACTCACTTCTCTTATTTATCTTTGTTAAAATGACATATTATACCTATATTATATGTATGATACCTATACTATGCTATATATTTACAAAGATGAGTAAGAGAAGTAAGTAAGGTTAACATTACTCTTTAAAAAATAGTTTTGATTCGATTGTAATCTTTATGATGATGTAATGCGCGAAGGCATAGTGTAGGCAGGCAATAATTTTTATTGAAAATTACTATATCCTATGGTTTTTATTTTTAAAAATTAATTTAAAAAAGAAATGAAATCTTATTTTTTTTATGAAAAATATTTGTAGGATCGAAAATAAAAATAGGAAAATAATACAGCCACCGACGGTAGTGCACCAAATTTGTACACCGAATGACGTGATAAAATCCTGATCGTTGAATAATTTTAACTTAATATTAATTAACGGTTAGGAATTTGTCACGTCATTTGGTGCACAAATTCGATGGCTGTAGCATTACTCATAAAAATATAGAAATCGTTTTTATATATTTGTATGTATAGCTTTTAAAATATATATTAATTTCTCAATATTATTAATACAATAATGTTAGATTCATAACTCAATCTCACAACCTTGGACGAGACAACTCGTATTTAACCAGCTCGCAAATGGGTAGATAAGACTAATAGAATGCAAACAAAACCTATTTACGAGCTGACAAATTACGAACTGTCACGTTAGGAGTTGTGAGATTAGATTATAGACCTAGTATTACTCTTATGCATTTTGGATATTAAATTGATTAAATTTAAGTAAATAATAAAAATATCATTTTCTTTAAATTTAAACAGAATAACTTAATGGTCCTAAAAAAAATAAGGTTAGAGTTGCATTTTTTAAACCAGTGAATACTCACTAAAGAAGACCAAACATATCCAAAAAAAAAAAAAAAAAAAATAATAATAATAATAATAAATAAAAGAGAAGAAGACCAAACATACAAATGTTAGGATTTCATTTCCGAAACTAATGATACTCACTACAAAATGGTAAATACACGGGCTTTACTATAAAAATGTATCTTAAAGTTATTAATTATTAGTTAATATACATATAATTCTTTTTTTTTTTTTTTTTTATTAGGTGAAAGTGATATAATATATGTAATGTTTATTCAATAATAAATGCAATATAATTATATATCTAAACAAGAATAGAATTTTCTTAAAAAACTTAAACCATCACTATATTCGTTAAGTAAAAACTACTAGCATGCATGGCTGCAAAAGGAAATGCAAATGGTTTTTCTTTTTTTATCGGATTTTGTGGGGGATTTTAAACGAGGCTAAAATCTTAAACAGTTGATAGATGGAGATCTTTAGGAATTAGGATTATGCAACGATGGAGGGTTACATTTGTAGACTTGTAAAGTTTAAGTACAATTAATGTTTGATTCAAACTGTAAGGCAGTCAGATCAGACCCTTCTCAAATTACGGGAATCGATACGTACTAGACCTAGGCCAGTTTTTTAAAACGGGATTACAATTTACAATCATTTAATTTGTAAATGGATCTATTATTGATGATAATTATTTGAATAATTTGATTATTACTTGATCATGAAAATACTTTTTTAAAAATTTATAAAGAGCGTAGTTAGCAATTTAGCTCTTAAAGAATATAAAAAAAAGATTGTTGAATTATAGTATAAAAATGAGATTTTACGCTTAAATACTGTAACTTTTAATATTTCATTTTATAGATCAACAATATTGAATATATGAATTGCATTTTTAATGAAAAATACCATACATCCTTTTTTTATAGATACGAAGTCAATGAGAACATTATTGAACTGGCATCAAAATCGAAACCATTAAGTCATCTATTACATTCTCCATTGTTCTTCAATTGCAAGAGTTACTGAATTTATAAGTTAGCCAACATTTGGTTATTCACATGTAACTTCTAAGGCTTTTAAGGTGCGTTTGGTTCAGGGAATGTTGGATTACTAAAAAGTTAGATTACCTTGAAAATTACTAAGAATCTTTAGAAAAATGTGTTTGGTTAGTTGGAATAAATTAGTGGGTATGTTTTATTAATATGTTTGGTTGGGAGGAATAAATTGGTGGGTATGTTATTTAAAACTGAATTGTCCTCTAATTAAATATTATTATTATATTATTTTTTTAACAGCAATGCTACAGACACCGGTGTTTTTACACCGAAATTTTGTACCGGCTGACATGTGTGCTGACTCAACCATCCAACGTGTTTTGGCATTATTAAATTTTATCTAATGAACGGCCGTCCATAACTTATGGACGACCGTTCACTCATATGGACCCCGTCCATATTATATGGACGGGGGTCCATTTACTACGAACGGGCGTCCTGATTTAGAGGACGCCCGTCCATTGCTAAATAAAAATAAAAAATATTAAAAAAAATTATGGACGGCTGTTCACAGGTCATGAACAGCCGTCCATAAATATTGGACGGGCGTTCATATGTTAATGGACACCCGTCCTTTAATTTTGGACGGTTTTATAAAATATAAAAATTTTAAAAAAATCTGGGGGCGTCTGTATAGAATGGACGCCCGTCCATAATTTTGTTTAAAAATTTAAAAAAAAATATTTGGACGTTCGTCCCATTCCTTAGGGACGGGCGTCCCTTAATTATGGACGACCGTCCATAATTAAGGCTGTTCATACTTAAGGGACGCCTGTCCCTAAGGAATGGACTGCCGTCCCACCTCTAATTAAAATAAAAAAAAGAATTAAAAAAGTTTTAGGTTTATTTAAAACTTTTTGGGAAAGCGTTTGAAAAAAAAAGGGTAGCGGTCTTCTTCTTCTTTCTTCCATCTACGCTCTGGTTCATCGGTTTCTTCATCCCATCTGCGCGCTCTGGTTCATCGTCTTCTTCATCTCAAAAAAACAAATCAGCCGCAGTAATTAGATACTTCTGTTTTTCAATTTTTCAGCCTGATCATTAACTTCAAGCCTCCTTTTCACAAAAAGCTATATCGTTCGGTTTACTTTGAAATATCTTCTTTTCGTCGGACTTGTAAGATCATGGTTATGTTCAAGCACAACTGATTTAATTTCCCATTTGTATTCACTATTCAAAGTTGTACTAATCTGACTCTTATAATCTGTTTTTGCAACAGGTTGTTTTTTCAAGGTATTTCTGCATTTACTTCTCTCCTTCCCAGAACAAGAACACGCCA